TCTGTGCCCACCTGCCTCTACTTGATACGTAGAGGAAGCCTGCCACAGCATGGCTTGCTGACTGGTGCCATGTCTGTACCCAGGATCTGAACCAGTGAACCCCAGGCTGCCGAAGCGGAATGTGCAAACCTAACCGCTGCACCACTGGGCCAGGCCCTCCAATCTGATTCTTATTCTGAGTAATCTACCTTTTCTCTCCGATAATGTTAAGAATTTCTTTTTATCTTTGATGCTCTGAAATGTCATTATTACACGACTCTGTATACACTTTTTCTTGTTTATTCTGTTCAGTCCTTGTCTTCAAATCTATAAATCGCAAACGAAATTCAAGTTGTTTTTTTAAAATACTCTAAAATTTATACGAAGGAGAAGAATGGCTTAGATAATTTTTTTTTACGATTTTTTTTTTTAGATTTTATTTTTTTCCTTTTTCTCCCCAAAGAACCCCGGTACATAGTTGTATATTCTTTGTTGTGGGTCCTTCTAGTTGTGGCATGTGGGACGCTGCCTCAGCATGGCTTGATGAACAGTGCCATGTCTGCGCCCAGGATTCGAACCAACGAAATACTGGGCCGCCTGCAGCAGAGCACGTGAACTTAACCACTCGGCCACGGGGCCAGCCCCTGCTTAGATAATTTTTAAAAAGAAGAGTAAATGGGGAAAATCAGGCTTGCTCTACCAGATATTAAGACATATTTCAAGCCCACAATAAGGTGTTAGTGCAACAGACAAATGGAACAAAGTAGAGAACTCTAACAAGGACCCATTTATAACAGGAACTTGATACACAATAAAAGAGCCATCACAAATCAGTGGGGCAAGAAGAAATCATTTATTAGGTGAAGTTGGAAAAACTGGTTCACTATATGAGAAAAATAAAACTGGATTACTATCTAACATCAACTACAAGGATGAACTCCAGACAAGTTAAGGAACTGAATGTGAAAGGAAAACTATAAAGCTAACTGAATAAAACGTAGGATGAACTCTGTGACCTAGAGACAAGGAAGAATTTAAAACTTCAAAAGCACAAACCATACAGGAAAACAAACAAACAAGAATTTGATTGCATCAAAATTATTTCTATCCATGAAAGATTTCACACACACAAAGTTAATAGACAGGTGGCAGAATGGAAGGAGGTTTTTGCAATGTCTAAAACACACAGAGAATTAATATCTAAAGTATACAAGGACTCAAGGGCCATCTTTCTGTTCTGCCATTGTCAGCACTGCTTTTGTCCCCATGTGGCTGCTAGATGGCCACTGCAGCTCCAGATTGTTTATCTTCCCACAACCGCATCCAAACACAGGAAAGCAGTTTTTCCTTCTGCATCTCTTGGCATTGTGGAAAGACAGAAGTCTTTCATAGAAGTCTCCTAGCAGAATTCCTGTCAGATCCCATTGATCAGGACTGACTCACACATCCATGCCCCAGCCGTAAGAGTGGCCGGAAAAGCCATTTGTGGCATTTTCAACCTTTATAGCGGGAGATATCATGGCCAGCAGGGAAGAGGGGTTAAGAATGCCAGTTGCAGGAGTAACATAGAACATTGCCATATCCCCCCTCCATTTTCTCCACTTTCTTCTGGCACTCCTATTAGACTCACGTTAGCACTTCTTGATTTACCTAAACGTCTTTCATACTTCCACCTATGTTCTTTTCCTACTGCATCTGAATTTCTCCATCCAATCTTCCAGTGCACTATTCACTCTTCACTGTATCCACTCTGCCATTTAACTCATCTATTGAGTGTTTTATTTCAAAAATTATGTTGTTCACTGTCAAGATCTCCAGTTTAGTTCATTTTTATAATATCTGTTCTTGCTTCATGATGCAATGTCCTTGCATCTCTCCAATAGTATTAATTATGCTTATTCCAAAGGTTTGTTCCAATTCTATTAGCTATGTTTCCTCAAGTGAAGTTCTGATTTTTACTCCATTTCAAGGTGCTACTCAAGTATCTGGGGATTCTATACCAGAAATCCATTTTTCCCACTGGGATTCCTATTAGATTGAAACTTTCTCTACTTGGGCAGCTGGCCGTGGAGTTAGGGGTGTAGTTGAGGTTGATGCAGATTTGATTGTTGGCGATTATACTTCTTGTGGTTTTCGGTAAGACCAGAAGATGAGTAGACTATGCTATGAGAAAAGATGCCTCAGCAGCTAGTGTTCTGGCCTTAAGGACTCCTCATTTCTCCCTGATATTGCCAGCCACTTGAGACATTGTCCTAGCTCTGAAATACTGCTCCTATCTGAAGACAGTGGCTGCAGTTGCATGACCTACAGAAAGGAGGATGGAGTGGCATGCAGGAAGAATAGGCCTGGAGGCTACCACTGTACCACCCAGTTCCCATTGCGAGGCTGTTCCTGCTCTCAGCTTCCACACCTCCCATCTGAGAATGGAACTGGTAGAGTATATTGGATTCCCATGTGCACACCAGACTGCCATTAATTACCCTTTCAATTCCATCCCATCTGATTTTAGTTGAGAATTTCTCACACTGAGAATTCATCTTGTTTTAAAGCATATCTATAAATACATTAAATATTTTTTCCTATCATTTCTCAAGTTTGGGGAAAAGGACAGAAACTGTAGGATGTGCTCAGTTCACCACTTTGGATCAGAAACTGTTTTGTAGAATTCAAGTAAAATATTAATTTTGTTAAAAATCATCATGTATAATATTTCATTTATAAATTTATTTTTCTATCTGTTTATCCATCCATCTATCATCCATTCATCCATCCATCTGTCCTTGTATCTGTACATATACATAAAGGGAGAGATGTCTGGAATGCTTTTAACTTAATATTAAAATAGTTATTTCTAGGTGGTAGCATTTAGAGTTATTTCCTTTCTAATTCGTACTTTGCTGCATTTTCTTTTTTTTAAAGATTGGCACCTGAGCTAACAACTGTTGCCAATTTTTTTTTCTGCTTTTTCTCCCCACATCCCCCCAGTATATAGTTGTATATTTTTTTTTAGTTGTGGGCCCTTCTAGTTGTGGCATGTGGGATGTCGCCTCATCATGGCCTGATGAGCGGTGCCATGTCTGTGCCCAGGAATCGAACGGATGAAACCCTGGGCCAGCAAAGCGGAGCGCGCAAACTTAACCTCTCGGCCCCTGCATTTTCTGAATTTATAATAAATATGTATCATTTTTACAAATAAATTCATTCCTAAAAGTATGTTTAGTTGTCTTTGAGTGTTGAGATTACGGATAATTTTTCATTTTATCTATCTGTATTTCCCAATTTCAACAGTGTACCTGTATTTTGTTATATTTTTAAGAAGAAGTTTAAAAGGTGATTAATGCAAAATTGGGAGCAACCAAGACCAGTAAATAGTTCAAGAGTACCATTAAATACACTAGAAGAGTTCAGGAGTATCGCTATTTTCAAGCAGGAGTGGTTCGAGTCTTCCTACTTTAGTTTAGGGAACAATAAGAATTAAATTGTGTACGATAGGAAACACCTGCATCAGGGCTTTCACAGTTGAGTTACAAGTGCAGTCACGGCACTCTTCTACAAGTCCCTTCTCTATGAAGACCAAATGCAAAAGAGAGAGTTCAGAAGAATTGGCACAAATGATCAACAACTGATGAATGGATAAATAAAATGTAGGCTAGCCATACAATGGAATATTATTTGGCAATAAAAATGAAGTACTGATATATGCTACAACATGGATTAACCTTGACAACATTACACTAAATGAAAGAAGCCAGTCACAAAAAATTATATATTTTATGATTCCATTTATGTGAAATGTCCAGAATAGGCAATTAATCCACACAGACAAAAAGTAGGTTAATCATTGCCTAGGGCTGGGTGCGTCAGAGGGAAATGAAGAGTGGCTGCCAATGGGTACAGAATTTCTGTTTGGAATTTCTAAAATTGATTGTGGTGATGGTGGCACAACTCTGTAAATATACTACAAATCATTGAATTTTACGCTTCAAATGGGTGAATTGTATGGTATGGGAAATATACTTCAATAATACTGTTAAAGAAAAACAAGAAGGAACTGGTTGCTTACACACTTGCCTCTTTGTGAGGAGTATTCAGGCTTCTCCTTGGGCTTCTGAAATTATCCTCTGTACTAGGGAGGCTTGTTGGGAAACCCATCCTGTGCAAGAACTGGGGCATTATTAGCATCACAACTATTTATAAAGGGCTTCCTCATGCCCACAGCTTGCTCCATTTGTTCTTCATCAATAGGTAGAATTCAAACGATTAAAAATAAGGATCACAAGTAAGAACAGGACTCAAAGTGCTAGTGCTATTGCTGCTAGATGCTAGCAGTGAAACGACATTATGCTCTGCCCATCAATCTTAAGAGCGCCTTACCATGGGAGAGCTTATCAAGGAACTGACAGTGAAACTTTCATACACATTACTTCACTTGATCCTTAAAACAACCTTAAACATCAGATAAAAGATCTGTGCTTTACAGATGAGGAAACTGAGGCTAGCTTAGAGAGGCTAAGGAACTTGCCAAGAAGCCACAATTAGGAAGTCGTGGAGTCAGTGTAAAGCGCCAGGGGATTATATAAAGATCAAGGAGAGAGAGAAGACATGAACTTACCTCACCTGAGGGCAACTCCAACAAAGTGGGCCACTCACTCAGATGCCACCATTCAATGCCTATGTTCTTGGTAGCCATCTCCACACAGAGGTATTTGGTAGCTTTATCTTTTCCAGAAGTCGCCATATCTCCTTAATTCTTTTTCTTCAGGGTCAATTTTTCCTGATCTTTTCATTACCTGGATTTACCTCAAGAGCATTTCACTGTCCCTTTTTCAAAAATCTTTTCAGCCAAATAATTTTCCTATCTTTACCTGATGATCTGGCACAAGCGTAAACTCCAGGGACCTCTTCCCTGCCTTTGCCTCTCAGGACCTAATGAACATTTCTTCAAGATATGTCAACACAGAATTACCAGCATAGTGTTAGATCTGTGAAGTCTGGTCAGGGTATTATTTATCTCAGGGAGAGTCTCTCAAACCCACATTTATTTTAAGGAATTATAGGGAGTCTGCTGTTTTTTACAGATTAGAGGTTACTGATTCAGTCAGTTTTAGCCATCTTGAGTAACCTGATATGCCCCCCCACACACACGTCAATATACATAGAGTTGCAAGGTTTCATTGTTGTGCACAATGCTTCTGATTAGCTTATATTTTCCCGTTGTCTCTGCCACGGTAACAAGACCTATTAACAGAGGCCTGCTCTCAGATAACATTAGAACTTGTATCCAGTTCTTCTGACTTCCAGTCCAGGCTCACTTTGCATTAGTCCACACTGAATCTTATAGACATGATTCTGACATACTCTGTCCAAAATCTTGATAGAGCTGCAGGGTTAGGAGACAAATGATAGAGCTTTAAGTCAGGTAAATCACAAGCTCCATTTTTAGAATGTTTCTCTTCTCACTTGGCTAATTCAATAATACAGATATCTGTTCAAAGTGTGAAGAATTTTGTGTTGTCAGAAAGAATTTTGCTAGCAGAAATTGTTTCTGGTACAAACGGTGGTAGCATTTCCATTATATAATGTATATCGTAAATGTATTCGTAATCTGAGTGACTAGTGACAGCTTTTCCTGATATCACATATTTTCTCTGTATTCATCAATCAGTCAAATTAAAAGACAGAGATCTTACATATGATTCCTTGTACACCTGGGTTTTTGATTCCATCTGGTATCTATAAATTGCCCTTTCCAAACCACTTCCTTAGAACCCTTGGCAATGAGAAACAAACAGAAACCCTATGCCTTTAGGTTGTAACCTGCAGTTCGGCAGATGATAAAGGGTACTTTACATATCTTATTCCATTTAATCCTCCCAGCAAGTCTATGACAATAGACATTATGTAACAAAAAGACAAGTTGCTAGAAAAGATCAGAGCTGGTATTCAAATCCAGATATTTCCCACCTAACAATTCACCATGATTTAAGAGACAGACACATTCATGTAAGAATATGACACAAACAACTGTAACATAACTTCTCTTAAGAGAAGTATAAATAAAATGCTGCCCCAAACCCACAGTTCCTTTTATGTAGTACAAAGAGAGAGGATTTTTATCAGCTAGTAGAAAGGCTGAGGAAGATTTTGGGAGGAAATGGCAACTGAGAGAGGCCTTTAAGAATGAATAAAATGTGAACAGGTCCTGAAAATACAGCCATCAAGTAAATTCCCCATGGAGATTCAGAGACTATCCCTCATACTCTTACATGCCTCCTGAAAATTCCAAAGTACTTTGGAACCCTGCTCTTCTTCAGAATTCTTTCCATTCCACCTGCAAAAGCTGAGTCCTTCCCCAAACCAAACTTTCCTTTATAATTTTTTTTCAGGACTCTTTGTTTAAAAATAGCCAGTTAGCTCTGAGGCATAGGCTTTTCAACAGCACTTTGCATTCTACTCATCCCATGCATTCTGATTCATTTATATCTACCTAATATTGCCTAATCTTAATTTTTACTTTATAAGATTTCTTTCACACCCCTTATAAGTATGTCCTAGTCTCAACTCTTCATAACAATTTCTAGTCTAAAAGCTATAAGCGAATGGGGCCAGCCCAGTGGTATAGTGGTTAAGTTTGCACACTCGGCTTCAACAGTCCGGGGTTCGTGGGTTCAGCTCTGGGACACAAACCTACACACCACTCATCAAGCCATGCTGTGATGGAATCTCATGTACAAAAAATAGAGGAAGACTGACAGAGATGTTAGTTCAGGGACAATCTTCCTCAAGTAAAAAGAGGAAGACTGACAACAGACATTAGCTCAGGACCAATCTTCCTCACCCAAAAAAATAATAACAAAAAATTAAAAAATTTTTTAAAAGCTATAAGCAATAGAAACAAGGATGCATTTATTTAACTTTAATATCAACTGAATAAAGAAATCTAGCAACAAAATTAAAAAACAGAATGCAATAATGTTTACAGTCTCTTTGATGATCAAATATTAACAACACACAATTGCAAAAAATTGGGCAATAATATTTTTACTAAAATTTCTCTGTATTTACAATGGGAAATTAATATTAGAAGGGAACTCAGCTTGACTGAGTTTACATACCTTTGAGGTGCAAATAAAATGTGCCAAATATTGCCCTAGATGTTTGCATTATTGACAGTAGAATACTTGTATTTATTATACACTAGGCACTGTGTTAAGATTTTATTTAATTTTCATAAGACCCTACAAGGTAATATTAGTGCCTTTTTTTACAAATGAAGAAATGGAGATTCAGAGAGGTTAAGTTACCTGCCCAGAGTTACACTGCTACTCAGAGTCAGGATTTGAACCCAAATCACTGATGACAAAACTTCTTTCAACTATAGAATGCCACTTTCATTTCCAAATCCTGCACAAAAGAGGAAGCCAAATTATTGTACCAACATGAGACTTACCAAAAAATTATCAAAAATCTCACAATGTCCCCACATGTGGGATCACGGGTAATCACTGATAAAATCTGCAGCTGAATTCCACAAAAGCAAACAGAAATGATTACTAGGCAATGTTAACACACGCCTCCTACCAGGGATTGCAAATCTGTCCTCCAAAGGCCAGTTCCAGTGGAAAAGCTTGACTTGGCCTTGGTAAAGAGACAGCAGAGCCTCAGGATCACCCTGAAAGCTAGCTTTCCCTGATTTGACAGTAGCATTGCTCTAAAGAGTTCCATTGTTGCTATTCGGTTAGAATAAATTACCAGAATACAGAGAGCCCATTCCAAAAGAAAACGAACTCCTAACAAAGCTTTTGTTGTAGTGGCTCCAGGGTCACTTTCACATGAAGTAAGGAATTCTACACAAGGAACAAAAGAATCTGCAATAAATTTGTATACTTTCTTTTGTTACACAGATTTGTGTCAGTGTAGTTAATATGTATAATCATGTATTATTTTGTATTACATATTATTTCTATTATTATGTATTATGTAGTAATATGTATATGATGTAGACGATATGTATGAATGCTCAAAGGAGCACTCAGTGTAATTAATATGAATGGACTATTTATTCATCATTGGTTCTTAACTGGAAAAAAGCCAAACTTTTCTGTGTATATAAGAGACATACCCTAAAGCAATGGTTTCTCTATTTCTTGAATTTTAAAAATATATTTCCACTTAATTATGTTATTGCTACCCTGATCACTTCAACACCTCTGTGGAGCTAAGAATGATAATAATCACAGATTTTCTGTTCTTCATCTTAAGGGCTTTTGTTTTTATTGATGTTTGAAGTTTCACATACTTCAACCACTAGACTTGTCACATTTTATTTCTCTTCATCTTTTTCAGATCTAAAAATAAAAACACAAGCCTAGAAAGAATTAATTACCTTAAATATTTCCAATAAATAAAATTGCATTTTGGATGCAAGGAGTCAAATTATGCACATAGATTAATCACTCCTTCCACAAAGACAACATCAAGGAGGGTGGCCCGGGCTGAATGTTTTAACATATCATTCAGGGTTTTCAGAGGAAAAAATTATAACTATGGAAAACATAACTTTCAAAAGTATATCAAGTCAGCTATATAAATTGTGAGATAATAATTTCAAAGTGGTGTAAAAAACATCAATTCTTCCTTGAAATAAAAAACATAACATACCAAATCAACACATTGTACACCTTAAACTTAGACAATGTTATATGTGAATTATATCTCAATAAAACTGGGGGGAAAAAGAAAAAGAAAAAGATATAACAAAAACAGACTATGAATGCCATTGCTATCTATCATTACCACATTCCAGTAGTCTGTGACTCTCCCCTAATCACTGTTTTCATATTTACACTCTGGTTGTATATTCCAATGTTACTTGAGGTCAGGGTCCTTGTCTTACCTTTGGTTTCCCCAAAATCTAGTACAAAACCCACTCTGTAAATGATCACTGAATTGAAATAAATCTCCTTTACATATCTTTGAGGCACAAATGAAATAAGGTATGCAAAAGTACTTTGGAGACAACAATGGATTTGTCAATGATTTCTTGGCTATGACAACAAAGTTACAGGTAACAAAAGAAAAAATAAATAAATTGGACTTCATGAAAATTAAGAATTTTGTGCATTAAAAGACACTATGAAAAGAGTAAAAAGATAACTACAGAATGGGAGGAAATATTTGCAAATAATATATCTGATAAGGGATTAATGTCCAGAATATAGAGAGAACTCCAAAACCCAACCACAAAAAATCAACCTGACTCAAAAATGGGCAAAGGACTTGAATAGACATTTCTCCAAAAAAGACATATACATAGTCAATAAGCACATGAAAAGATGCTAAACATAGTAATCATTAAGGAAATGCAAATTAAAACTACAATGAGAAACCACTTCATACCCATTAGGATGCCCACTATCAAAAAAACAAAATAAGAAATGTTGGCAAAGATGTGGAGAAATCAGAACCCCGGTACACTGTTGGTGGGAATGTAAAATGGTACAGCCACTGTGGAAAATAGTATGGTGGTCCATCAAAAAATTGAAAATAGAATTACTATATAATCCAACAATTCCACTTCAAGGTTTATACCCTAGAGAATTGAAAGCAGGGTCTCAAACAAATATGTGTCCTCCCATGTTCATAGCTGTATTATTCATAGTAGCCAAAACATGGAAGCAACCAAGTGTCCATCCATGGGTGAATAGATAAGCAAAATGTGGTATACACATACAATGGAATATTATTCAGCCTTAAAAAGGAAGTAAATTCTGACATACAACATATGCTACAACATGGATGAAGTTGAGGACATTACACTAAGTAAAACAAGCCAGTCACAAAAAGAACAAGAACTGTATGACTCCACTTATATGAGGTACTTGGTCAAAATCAGAGACAGAAAGTAGAATTGTGATTGCTAGGGGATGGGCGGGGGGTGTGGAAATTGGGGGTTATTGTTTAATGAGTAGAGAGTTTCAGTTTTACAAGATGAAAAGAGTTCTGTGAATGGATGGTGGTGATGATTGCATATTATAAATGTATTTAATACCACTGAACTGTACATGTAAAAATGGTTAAGATGGTAAATTTTATGTTATATGTATTTTATCACAATAAAAAAAATTTAAGAATTTTTAAAAATAAAAAAGTACTTTGGAAACTATAAAGTTTCATGTAAGAGTTGATTACAGAATGCTACCAGAGAGAAGAGCACCTTACTATTGGCTGACACCTCTGTAAGGCATGTTACTGCCACATATAAATCAGAGTATCACTAAGTCTTATATGACATATGGTCAAATTTAACCCCATGATGTTCATCCTTTACCTGGCATTTCTAAACAACCTCATTTCCAAAACATGAAATGCCCCCAATTTAAAATACTACTATTTCAATCATAAAGTCAAAATAATTAAACTTAAAACAAAATCAATAATTACAAACAAAATGGTATAAACATTTGCCAAATTATTTTCTAGTCATAAATACAGTCACATCCGTATTTTTGCAAAGATACTCTCTAGACAATCTGTAACAATAAAATACCATTTTTTAAATGTTATGATTAACAATGCAGTGGAATATTTTCATAGTTTCCATATCACGTATGTATGTGACACCAACCCTTCCAACATAATTTCATGATAGCCCAAGAAAAATCTTAGACTTCTTTCCCATCAAATAAAAAGTTTTCTTACATTTCAGCCAGACAAACACCATACTTAATACAGAGTAACTTCCTGTTAAAGACTTGCAAAATTTTAAGCAAATACAAACCTCATACTCAAATTGTATGAATTTGCTTAAGGGTGCCAAAGTATCTGTAGACAAAGGAAACAAATTAGTCAGCTCTCTGCACTGCCCTTTCTCAGAGCCAAACTTCCCTGGTCCTTGCCCTCTGAATCACCCTCATCTTCAGGTTCAGCTCACTCCTTACCCCACTGGTTCAAGAGTTAATCCTGTCCCCAGACAAGAAGTAACATAAGGTCTGGTACGATCCAGAGTTACCCTGCATATCTGCGTGTTCCCCACGCATTAGAGTCCATTCATCCATCCATCATCAATCTACCTAGCAAATATTCATTGAGAACTGTCTGTCTCAGGCACTATCCTAGACTTGAGAGCAACTATGGCTTTATAATTGTTCTTGATATCAATGGGGGTATGTTCCTCACATTATTCTTTTTCTTTAAAGTTGCCTCAACTATTCTGGGCTTTTTGCTTTTTCACACGAATTTTGGGTTAAGCTTGTCAAGTTCCAAGGGAAATCATTAGGCATACCACTTAATTTAGAGATTAATTTGGAGAGAATTGACGTTTTTCTGATATTACATCTTCCCATCTATGAATATATCTCAATTTAGTCAGAACTTTTTTGTTTCCTGATACTTTGTAATTTTTTCCTTAAAAGATTATCACATCTTTTTTTTTGCTGAGGAAGATTAGCCCTGAGCTAACATCTGTTGCCAATTTTCCTCTTTTTCGTTTTTTCTTTGAGGAAGATTAGTCCTGAACTAACATCTGTGGCAATCTTCCTCTATTTTATATATAGGTCGCTGCCACAGCATGGCTGATGAGTGGTCTAGGTCTGTGCTTGGGATCTGAACCCACAAACCTGGGCAGCCAAAATAGAGTATGCCAAATCTAACCACTATGCCATGGGGCTAGCCCCAAGACTATCATATCTTTTATTAGATTAATTTCTGAGTTCACAGTTTAGGTTGCTATCATAAATTGGATCATTTTTCTATTATATGTACTAACCATTATTTGTGAGAATATTGATCTTTAATAGTCACCCCACTGAACTTTCTAAGTTTTAATAGTTTGTAGATTCTCTTGAATATTCAGTGTAGACCTCCTCTGTAAATAGGTCAGCTTTAGTTTTACTTCCCAATTTTTTATATCCTATAGTACTTTTTCTTGTCGTAACATGCAATTGAATAGGTGATAGCAGGACTTTCCTGCCTTGGCTCTGACTTTAATGGAAATGTTCCTAAAGTTTCACTAAGTACTATGTTAACTCTAGGTTTTTGATTGCTAATAAGTTAAAGAAATTCTCTTCTATTTATTGTTTGCTAAGAGTTCTTATCATGAATGAGTGACCAATGTTATCAAATTCTTCTTCCATGTATGAGATTATCATGATTTTTCTCATTTAATCTGTTGGTAGATTTTCTGACGTTGAGGCATTTATTCGTCTATTCATTTAACAAATATTTATTGAGTGCCTGTGACGTGCCAGGCACTGTTCGAGACTCTGGGAAAACAGGGGGCAACAGAAAGACAACAATCCCTGTCCTCATGATGTTTAAATTCTAGTTGGGGAGACAGACAAGAAACAAGAAAATAAAATACATAGTACAACAGCTCATGATAAGTGTTCTGGAGGAAAGCAAAGCAGAGCAGGAAGATAAGGCATGTTAGCTAAAAAATGAGAATTAAGTAGGATAGTCAGGGAAGGGTTCATTGAGGCGACATTTGAGGAAAGATCTAAGAACACCCATCCTAGGCTGAAGGAACCACAGGTGCAGAGGCCCATGGGGCAGAACTTTGTCATTTTGCACTGGAGAATTTTGAGATGAGTGATAAACACGACTTACATTTTGAAAGAATTTTTAAATTCTTGCATTCCCAGAATAAATCTTCCTGGTCCATTACATATCATTGGGTACACTGCTAAATTTGTTGGAATCTTGTTTTTCTTTAATCTGTACTCATAAGAATGGTTTCTAATTTTCTTTCTTGAACTGCCCGTCTCCATTCTTGTATTACGGTTGGAATCTTGCAACAAGCATCATGGAATGAGTTGGTTGTTATTACAGTTTATTCCGTTACATGTACTAATTGTAACTTGTGTGAAAGAATGCTTTTCTTAAATGTTTTTTCTTTAGTCTGCTATATCAATTTCTGATAGAGCTGCACCAAAATTTTCTCCCATGACCAGGCAATCTGTCCATTTCCCCTTGCAACTGTCAATGAATACATGGGAAGATGCAGTTTTTTACTTTTATGTCTTCCTAGTAGATCATTTCCTTTACCACTAGCTACTCTCTTTATCCCAATTTGAGGTTTTTGCCTCAAATGTTATTTTGTCTAATAATATTGCTGCACAAGCTTTCTTTTAGCACCTGCCTAAATTATTTTCAACATTTTTCAAAATTAGGTTTTAATCGTATCTCTTTTAAGCAGCACACAGATGGATTTTCTTAAAACTCAATATGAAAAACTAATCTTTTACAGAGGAGTTAGATCGTTGTACATTTATTGTGACTGCTGATATAGCACTGATTATACAGCACTTTCTGTATATTTCTGTTATCCCTTTTTCTCACTCTTTCTCCTTTCCTGCTTTCTATTGAATTGACAGATTTCTATATTCCCTTTTATAGCTCTGCTTGTTTGGAAACTATAGATGTGTCTTTTTTTTTAAGTAGCTACTCTTGTTTTTTTATTTTTTAGGGTTTTTGGGTTTTTTTTTTTTGCTTTTCCTCCTCAAATCCCCCCAGTACATAGTTGTATATTTTAGTTGTGGGTCCTTCTAGTTGTGGTATGTGGGACGCTGCCTCAACATGGCCTGATGAGCAGAGCCATGTCCGCACCCAGGATCCAAACTGGCGAAACCCTGGGCCGCCGGAGCGGATCATGCAAACTTAACCACTCGGCCACGGGGCCAGGCCTGCTACTCTTGTTTTTAAAGGACATACTTAACTTTACATGTATTCTAAATGTTGTGTAGCCATGTTTGTCTTCCACCCAGACATGAAGAGGTTCTTAGTACACCACTGAACAGGTCCTGTCTCTTATTACTTTTAGAGCAGCAGTTCTCAGAGTGTGCTCCCAAGACCCTTTCAAGAATCTGCAAGATTAAGGCTATTTTTATAAAAATATTAAGATGTTGCTTTTCTCCCACTCTGTTGACATTTGCATTCATGATACAAAAGCAATGATGGGTAAAGCAGCTGGTGCCTTACCATGAATCAAGGCAATGGCACCAACTGTCCCAGTAGTCACTGTACTCTTCCCTGTCCTGAACTCACAGAAGAAAAAAAAGTTACACGCAAGAATGCCCTTGATGAGGCAGTAAAAATTGTTACTTTTATTAAATTTTGACCTATGAATACACATCTTTTTAAAATCCTGAGCAACGACAGGGGAAGCTTGCATAAAGCACCTCTACTGCACAGAGAATTACGATGGTTGTCACATGGAAAAGCACTTGTGTGATTGAGTTGAGCTTAACTAGCCACTTTTTTTTCACAGAACATCATTTTTATTTCAAAGAACTGGTAGACAAACCATGGTTCTACAGACACGGGTATTTGACAGACAGTTCCTTGAAAATGAAGTGA